AAAAATCTTTTTTGAATCGCCTCAATCATGTCTTCAAGGTAAAGCTGATGAGGATACCATACAACTGATGCATATTCTAATCGTGAGCGCACCAATGAACAAAATAATAATTTTACTGAGTTTAAATTTCTTAAAAAGCTGCAAGATCTATGAATGAAACCTAATACTGAATAAGCTGCCTTACAAGTGTTCATCACGTGTTCTGCAAATAGAAATTTACTATCGAAAACAACACCAAGATCTTTAAATGCTGACTTTCTACATAAGACAACACCATCCATTGAATAAGGAAAATTTACAATAGTTTGGGTAGTTTTCCTTGTATAACTCATAACAGCACATTTTTAACATTAAATAATATATTTTCTTTACTCCAAGCAATCAGTTCATCAATATCAGTTTGTAGCTGTTGAGAATCCAAGATTGTGTTAATATTTTTGAAAATTTTTAAATCGTCAGCGTACATTAAAATTTTACTATGTTTTACACACCTGGTTATATCATTTATAAATACTATGAATAATAAAGGCCCTAAATTTGAACCTTGGGGGACACCTGAGTCCACCAGGTTGTCCAGTTTTAAAGATAATTGACTTAAAAGGTACTGCCTTTATTTATCAACATAATCCAAAACATATTTTGATTTCTATTTTTTCTGAATTAATTTTATTAACGTACTAAACGTGTAGTAATATCTAACTAAACACTATAAATTGCTCATATTTCCATTATTCTTCGTTAACAGATGGCTTAGAGCTTAAACGATTTTTAAAGTCAAACCCCAAATTGTTTTTCTCTTCATCCCTGAAATCGAAGAGTCACCATAAGCATACACACAAAAAGGTAGACGACAAATTTACAAAAATGTATTAAAATTGAGGTTGGGTTTTTGGACGCAAAATGTCAAACTTATAAGGATTTTAGTAGTTAGTTAAGGGTTTAACTTGAAATGAAAGAAGTGATGCTAGACCCTAATGCTACCCAGTCCAATTCATCTCGACACAATAGACTTCGCACAATAGAAGCTCACGCCTGTGATGGGTTTTGTTGGTCTGTTTCATCTTATTAAAACATTACTGATGAAATGCAAGTGGAATTTAAAACAATTATTGAATAGAATATTGCTTTAGAAGATATTCTAACTGTTTTTATCGTTGCAGGTAAGCTCAGCAGACTGGTGAACCGATTGTAAGTTACATACAACGATAGTTCTTAAGAATTAAAATTATTGTGTTAGCGAATATCTATCTATACTATTATAAAGAAGAGGTGGTGTCTGTGTGTGTGTGTGTTTGTATGAGATAATCTCAAAAACTACTGAACCGGCTGGTCTCAAATTGCACACAAATGAAGCTACAGCTCTGAGGATACATATAGAACTATTCCCGCTTCGATATTGTCCTAGGGCTCCGCCCCGTGGGCTTTCAAAAATTTGATGTGAGAGATTTAAAAGTAAATATTGATTGATGGTATCCATGGTAACAAAGAACAAACCTACAAAGTTTGAAAATGTAAACAAGCAGAACTAACTGTCAAATGAATTTTGGTTTCACAATTCCACACAGCTGGTTCAAACATTTATTTAAATACTGCATGACTGCATGAATATTAGAACAGAGAGGGTAGGGATCATATTTAAAATAATGACGTCACTAGCCTCAATGTAAACATTATTTTACATTAGGTACTATAAAATGGAGCTGTCAAACCATATGTTAATGTCATTTCATTATAATAGGATTCTTCCAGTTACATAACTTTTTTTATGTTTATACTCAATTATATGTACTGAGTCTGTTCTAATATTTGTGATATGCTGTGATAATATTTTATAGTGAATATTTCATTGTAAAAAGAAATTATTCATAGATATAGGATATAATTAAGATTCTACAATCATTGCCGTATCAAACTAGGCCCTTATCCTGAGTTTTATGAGAATTATGTTTTAGATTTATTTTTGTGTAAACAGTAATTTAATATCCCTGCTGCAGCAAACCTATAGACTAAGCGAATTTCTATTTGCCTGATTGTCATTTCTCTCAAATATGTTAGAAAACTACACTATTGACAGGTTTGGAACTATTGTGATAGCTTTTTCGTTTACAGTCCAAACCATTAAACAGGTTCTTTTATTATACCTTAAAATATATCATTGGTTTTGTTTCCTAGGTAGCCTAAATAAGTATTCACAGTATGAGTTAACAAAAAAGTACTAGACCTATTACTATTATCAAGTTAAGTAGGCTAATACAGTTCAATTTCGTTTCTACAATAAATGTTAGGGAGTGAAACCATTTGGCATTTTCAAAGAACCAGTATTAACTCTTTTGCATACTGACCCCGTAGCAAGGCACGGGTATAGCTGCTAGCGAATACGAATAGTAGTGCTGGTTGCAGTAGCGCCAGTCAAATTTTTAAGCGACCGACACTACTAATTGGGACCGCCGGAATTGATTTTTTTAGTATCTTATATAACTTAGAGTTAATCATGTACTACCACAAAGTCTTCTTTCTACATCAATTACAATTCCATAATACCCCCGCCGCAGCACACCTGCAGCCTATTTTCAATTAAATCTAATTCAATAACATTAGGTTTAACGAGTATCTAGGTTATGCTGCTACAGGGAGGGTTACGAAGTGTGATTTTAGGAAAATTAGTATAGAATAAATCAATTTGCCAAATTTGATAAAAATATATCCAAAAGGAATTAAAGAATTTTGTCAGCTGTTTCGACTGCACAAGTTAGTTCTATGATATTAAATAGCATTAACAGGTTTTAAGGCACCTATAGGGTGCAGTCCTATTATTTTTTGCATTTAACACATGCATTACACAATGAGACCTCTACTTTTTTCTATGGTTCAGGGGCAGTGGTAGAGCAAAAGAACCAAACTTTCTTAAACCATGTCCTCACCCATAACTGCAATAAGCATTTTATACTTATATGCCAACCCCGTACGAAGGACGGGTACTCTGCTAGTATTCTATATTATTAATACGCTTATTATACACATTCAATACATTGTTTTGAACCATGGTAAAGCAACCTATTTAAGCAGTTAGCTATGCACAGCCATGCATAACAATTTTAATCAGTCTATATACACGTGCTTCTTTGACACGGATGTTTTTGTGATTAGCTGTGAACACATTCCTCCGTAAATGATTCAAATTGATAAAAAATCTTACGTTTTATGAGGAAAAGTAAAACATTAGGGCTGATCTATTTAAAAATTCTAGTGGGGAAAACTCACCTCAAACTCAATTAAACTGAAATGATTAAAATCGGTGGAAACACTATTGGAGTTGTGGTAACAAAAATACCTCTATTGTAATGATATAAGCATATAATTCCGCTGTAACAAAATTGATGCCTTTTAAGCTAATAAATAAGATATACGGCACGTTGTATGATCTAGTTTAATTTTCAAAATTAACCCTTGGTTATTGTGATCTTTAGATATAAAACTTAAACGGACATAACACCATTATGGAGTATAACGGACCATTTCCCCAAGCTAATAATAAAAAACCGCACTTTGAAATAAAAAAAATATATAACGACTAGCTGTACCCGCGGGCTTTGCCCCGTTTAACTTCATATGTGAGCTCGTCCGCATGGCTCAATCACGTCCTGGTTGAAGTTCGTTCGCTACGCTCACTCACCTTTAGGTTGGAGCTCGTTCGCTGCGCTCACACGTCCTGGTTGAAGTTCGTTCGCTACGCTCACTCACCTTTACGGTTGGAACTCGTTCGCTGTGCTCACTTGCCTTTAGGTTAGCTCGTTCGCTATGCTAACTCGCCTCCGGGTTGAAGTTCGTTCGCTACGCTGACTCACCTTTTGGTTTGAAATTAGCTGTTGTCAAATATAAAAAAATAGTGCTGCACTCTGTTGGTAATCCTTGTAACTTTAATGCTATTGAACATCATAGAACAGAACCAACTTGTTTAATTGAAACAGCTGTTAAGATTCATTAATTCCATTTAAATATGAGTACTCATTAGGTTAACATGGGAAAATGCAGAGCCACTGGGGCGGAGCCCGAGAGTCCGATCAGAATAAAAACCACTTAGTTTTCCTATTTAATGCCTAAAGAATCAGTGTACCAAATTTCAGCCTCCTAGGTAAGTGGGAAGTGGGAGAATTAGTGATGAGTGAGTGAGTGAGTGAGTGAGTCAGTCAGTCAGTCAGTCAGTCAGTCAGTCAGTCAGTCAGTGAGGGCTTTGCCTTTTATATACGAGATAAACATTACCCAATTAAATGTAGAACTTTTATAAAAAAGATTTGAATTTGAAAAATTAATGTAGGAATGTGAAATACTGTAAAGTAACAGTCTGAAACGTGTTTTGAACTTTCAAAGGCCACCCACATCCTACAAACCCTTGGTCACGTGTTGGCCAAACCACACATCGGTCAGCCCGTATGTTGGACATTTAAATTCAATTACCTCCATGATGCAGTTTATTAAATGCCAATGTTTTTGTAGCCAACTGACGGTCCAGTACGCATGACTGCTCGGCACCCCAGCGCACGCGCCCCTACCATATGGGGGCAGAGATGCGATCTGGCGGATATTGTCGGAATTATCATCACTTTATCTAAAGTGTTCTTAAATGCCCACCAGGTGGTGCTAGTTACACCTTCGGTATATAGGGTATTTAAATACCACCACATGACGTCAGACCGAGGTAGTTTGAATTTTGCATATGAGTGGATAGGGGTTGCTGTGGGATGTAGAGAGCTTTTAATAGTTTGATTTTCACAACATAAACCGTTTCGGGACTGTTGTTGGTTTTTAGTGAAGTAGACATACATTCTATCAACCTTTGAAAACTTTCTCATTAAAATTATAAACACTAATGGGAAAGTTTGTAAATATATTTTTATATTCGTGTTTGTATTCCTCATTCTTAACCTTGGGTTAAGTGCGTAGTCTAACCAACAAATATTTAAACTCTATATAGAGTCATAGAGTTAAATTATTTTACACACCTTGTCTTTTTCTTCTTAACGCCGTTGTTGTCACCCTTTTTACTCTTTGATTCGGATTTCTTTGGTGGTGGTGGATCCGTTGTTCCTGAAACTAATAATAAACAATTAATAAAAATAAAAATAATAAAACAGGGGTAATACATTTTTTTTATGCTGTAGAAAATGTTCACAACAATAGAAATTATGTCACATGATAAATTTGATAATTTCATTTTGACAAGCTTCAGAAATTGTTGTATGTATACTAACATAGACAATCATGACTGTGATTATGATTTGGCGTTTTATTTTTAATTGGTGTGTTTCCATAAGTGTTTTTTGTTAAAAGTAATATTTAATGGTTAAGAGGAATCAGATTTATATAGATTTACAAAATTATCTTGAATTTTAGTTAAAGGAATTAGATTTCGACTCTGAAGAGTATTGAGAAATACTGTATTCTGTATGTTTTATTGACAACTCGTAAGAGTATTGACGCAATCTATCGGACAGTATCGGTCAAGGATAAGACTTCAAGTGTAAGTATTACAAGTAAGTTATCAGATAAATCAAACTATGAATGTAACTATTACAAATTGTTAAATATCAACCACTAAGTTAACTACAGCCATGTATCTACATGGTTCGATGAAATTCGAGATATTTAATCCAAAACCTAAAAATTAACAAAAAATCTTAATTGTGTTAAACATTAAAATAATTACTTAAAACAAACAAAAAACAATAAAACCTATTCCTACATTTTTAACCAAGCTTGAATTTTCAAGTAAAATAACATGAACTATAATTTGCACAGATGCCTGTATAATTGCACCAAAACTCCTAACCTAAATAATAATACCCCCGCCGCAGCAAACCTGCCGACTAAGCGAATTTCCATTTGTCTGAATTGATTTTCAGTTAAATATATTTTAATAACATTAGGTTTAACGAGTACCTAGGTTTGCTGCTACAAGGAAACTAATAAAGTGTGTTTTTGAGTAAAATATTGATAGCTTAGTACAAAATAAATAAATTTGCCAAGTTTGATCAAAATATATCCATAAACAAGCAAACTACAACATTTGACAATATTCTCCATAAGAATAACATGGGAATTTTAAATTTACAATTTTTTAAATTTTCTCCGTTACTAATAACCGAACAAAAATACTTTTATATACTAAATTATTTGTTTTTTTAAGCTCTTTAAAAAGGTCTAAAGAGAAATTGGGAAATTTTGTGTTTTGAGGGTCAAAAGTGAGAAAAACCAATTTTTACCCCATAAAACCCCCCGTAAAGCCCCGTTCCCATGGTCCGATCATGCTGGTTCGCGAACTCATTCAAGTTTATCTCCCTTTACACATTTAAACCAAATTTCATCAAAATCGGACCAAAATTACTCAAGTTATCGCGTTCACGGACGTATATATATATATATATAAATCTATATATATATATATATATATATATATACATATATAAAAATTTGAACGAATGGTGTTTTTGGCCTCTGGGGACATCAAAACGAAAAAGTAAATCGGTCCCGGGTCTAGGTCTTACCGTGCCACCTACGGTAATAGCTACTTCCCTATAGGGAAATTCGCTAAAACTTATTCATTTAAATAAAAAGTGCGTACTTGTTTTTTACAAAACCATAAGGATTTACATAGTAAATAAATAATCTATTATTATTATATCTATTATTCAATGTTATGTGGAAACAAATGTAACTAACAACCAAAATTAAATGCATATAATATGAATAAGAATTTTTTTAAATAAGGTATTTTATTTTTTTTATAACAGGAATGTCAACGCCAATTTTTGGGTGTCAACAAACATTTATTTTTACATTATTTATGTAATAAAATATAAGATTAAGGCAAGCTCAGAAAAAGTCGATTTTCGATTAACGATTTACCAATTTGATTTAATAGTTGTAAATATAATATACCATGAAAGCTGGCATTCTGTTAGGAGAAACCACGAATTATCATAAAAATAATAAGCCAATGCATATTTTTTATTGTGGTGAGAGTTATTTCTGAGCAAATAAATGGACAAAATATTTATTCTGTCTACAACATTGGTTGTATGTTTATTTCCAAAGGCTCCAATGGTTTTAAAATCCAAAATTAAGTCCTAAACGATGTTGTCAATGATTTTTTAATTGTTTTGATAGATAATACTTTAAGAACCTTAGCAAAATTGGCCATAATAAACAACCTGTTGCCACAGAGAGTATTTAATGTTAATTAAAGAAACCCTGCTGTCGAATTTTAGTTGCTAAACAAATTTTATTGTTAATGATAATTAATTGACACAGGGACGTGTTATAGGTGGGTTTTTGATGAGATCTTACTGGTATGTTATTGCATGAAACAGATTGTAAATAAAACTATGTTAAAAAATATATATCTAATGTTAAAATACCTCAGCCGTACTTATTGTTTGTTATTCTTTCAATTTATTAACTTATTAAAATCAGGTGTGATTATTTGTTTGTATTAAAAAATTCTGTTTTGTTTATTTCAGCTTAATTTATTTGTCTATGGCTTAACCAATCAATAGTTTTATTAATACTTATGAAGTCAAACTGGGTGAAGCCCGTGGGTAACATCTAGTTTCATTAATATTTAATTTAATTTACTGTTACTAGCAGCCAGAGTCACTTCGTGACTTTAAAGTTCGCGATATATTTAAATTAATTTACAATTTGTATACTGCTCTGAGTTAAGTTAAAAATTATTTATTTTTTACGTAATGGCAACATTTGCTAGAACACCTATAGCTGTTGTTTCATGTCTAAAATATAAAGAAAAAAAAGCTACATACTTCCTTCATTATTACTAAGTTCAAAAAGAGGGGGATTTACTGGATTATCCATGGATAAGGGCAGTTGAAAAGGGTGAAAACGATTATTTCTCATCATATCATATACCTATTATTTGCATTGCGTGCGCGATCTCTTCGAGGCACCTTAGGAAAATTACAAATACTATTGAAACATACTATGAAAACATAAGATCTAACATTAGTACATAATTTTACTCTTTACATTTTAACCTAATAGCATTACAAAATTTTACTTGAATTCACTAAAACATACTACGAAAACACAAAATCCAATGTAAGCACAAAACCTAATGTAAGTAATTTTCTTCTTTACATTTTATACAAATAAAATTACAATATTTTACTTGAATAATAAAACAACGCCAACTGTAGTGATTTTCCACATTTTCGTATGGATGTAAACAAAATTGTATCTTGACCATCTGTTTTTATGTGAATAAGTGTAAACTTGAAAAAGTTAATATGATTGACAACATAATTCAGCACAAACTCTGAAATTTTAAAAGCCGATAAGACGAAGGGCTTTCACGGGATATCATCCAAATGGCACATCTAGAGGATAAGAGCTTTAAATTTATACCCATATGCCTATGAAAATAAATATTTAGGGGTCGATTTCCTGGATACAAAAAAAAAACAACAAACTATTTTAGGCCTAATGTTGGATATTGTTTATTTCAATTAATTAACTAAACATATTCTTGTCATATTCATATCATATTTGGATTGTGATCTCGGAGAATAATTTATATGTAGGCCTAGTAAGTATGTCTGAATACGTAACGTTTTGCAGTATATTTAATGTAAATTGATTCTTAACCGTTGGAAAGTAAAGTAAAATTTAATTTAATTTTAAAACCTGATGCCTTTGTGCATTGACTTCAGTAAGAAAACATTTCACAGAATAATGTTAATTAGTAAATAGGTTCTTCTGTTAAACTTTCAACTTCCGTAATGGTAGGTTCTGTAACATACATTCCTAATGCATTTATGTGTTGGCTAAAGTGTTTAAATTTTCAAAATGGTTTGTTTGTAAGGTTTGTAATCCAATAAGCACTGTACTGTTCACCCACCTTGTGGTATCATGTTGGCGTTGTCCTGCAGCTCGTGTTCCTTGCGCTGCTGCTGAGCCGAGGGATGTTGGAACATGACAGTGATGTCGTGGTGATGTTGGTCCGGAGGAACCTCGTGTCCCAGCCCCAACATCACCTGGATGCTGTGGACGTTCCTGGAGTCCGACTTGCACAGGATGGTCGAGGTGCCGGGTAGCTGCCCTCCGGTAAAGTCGGAGAACAGCGAGTCGTCGAAGCCCGAGCCCTCCATCACATCCAGGATGGGCTTGAAGAAGTCGGAAATGGTGCCGGTGTCGGACGACGTGTTGGAGCCGAGGATGACCAGAAGGTGGAGAAACTCGAGGTAGAACCTCCAGAAGACACGGCGGAATCCGCGGGAAAATATCACAAAGACATACGAGTCGACAAGTCTAATTGGGCGCGAAGGAAACACGCTTCAATTAAACGGCGTATAAAATAAACCGATCGGGATTAAATAATACGACTAATCAAATTCCTGCTAACAGGCTGGCTCAAATTGAGTTAGACCCAATTCAGCTAACTACGTTCAATAAGCTATATTGTCACAATTGTGGTTCCTCTAACTCAGTCTAGAGCGGGACTAACCGCGAGAAGCACGTTACCTACACTAGCAGTACCTTCCGCATCGGGAATTTATATATTAATAATATTTTTTGCCGGTCTCGATGTGTGTGCAGGAGTGGTTGTCGTGCGGGGAGAGGAGTGAGGCCCAATGGGAGCGAGGGGCGGAGCCTCGTCAGCCAATGGCGGTGGAGAGGGGTGATGACGTAGACACGGTGAGGATTGCAACACGTTGTTTACAAAAAATATTTTTCAAAAAAAGTGTGTACAAACAATGGTTTTTATAAGAAAAGTTAAAGTTGTACCCAAACTTTTATACCTAATGAGTAAAATTATTTTAAAAGAAAGATAAATAATTAATTTTGAGCTAATTATAACAAAATATTAATTACGTCAACAAAATAACATGTAAACAATAAGTTACCAAAAATAAATCACGGTTCCAAGATGTCATACACCACAAAATTGTCGAAGGTAATTTGATAATTCAGTAGTAATATAGGAAAAATTTACAAAATTCAGGGAATTTAATTGTAATTGAAATGCTTCTTCTTTACGTTTAAAAAGTATTTACTTTAAACCTGGCTGAAATTTGTGAAATGTTTAGGCTCAAAAATTCTAGAAGCTAATAGTTTGGCCTAATGAAACATCTTTGGGATCACGATTATTTTTGTCTAATGTACCGGGTGTCCCACGAAGAGGTCCCTATCTTTCAATTGATATGACAGACGTATAGATCGCGCTACAGACTTGAAATTCAACGGTTGAGACTAACACTTACTTACTTACTTACTTACTTACTCCCTCGACGTCGTTGACCAGCTCTTGCTGGATAGACTGAGTCAAATAAAAATAATAATAATATATATATACATATTTACAAGTTTGGCGGCAGGTTAGACGCAAATTTTATAAAACTCATCTAGGGAGTACAAGGGTCTTGCCAGTAGCCACTCCCTCAGTTCGTTTTTGAAAACTGAGGCCTCAAGGTTTTTTAAGTACAGTGGCAGTCTGTTGAACATCCTAATTGCCAACATAGGAAAGCTGTCCTTTTTTTTGTTTAGTCTGCAGAAAGGGATATCAAGGTTGGATTTTGACCTTGTATTGTGATCATGTTGGTCTTCTCTCAATGCAAGACTAGAGATGTTGGTCCTTACGTTGTTTAGGGTGATTAGAATGTACTGGCTGTATACTGTAAGGATATTGAGTTTACTAAAAAGAGGTCTGCAATGTGCAACACGTATGTAAAGGTGTTGCCCCCGAGTCTCAATTAGTTCTGACTGATCCACACAAAATGGCGGGAAAAACAAAATCATCAATCTTACTTTAAGTGTAAACCTACTTTTTATCCTGCCATTTTGCCCTAATGTGTCAGAATTAACTGATACTCAGGGGCATTTCTTTTACATATGTGTACGGTTGAGTTTCATGTTTGTAGAGAGTTCGGTGCACCGTCTAATATATTAATTAAAAAATAGGGACCCCTTCGTATGACACCCGGTATACATCATACTTCATTAGTGAAAAAAACAGTAACATTAAATAAAAACAAACACATAACTTGTATTATTAACTCTAAAAACAAACTATACTTGCACAATTAAATTGGCGTAACAAAAACCAAGCCAAACTGATTATGAGTAAAACAACTGTTTAATATCAGTTGATATATTTTGTACTTCACTGAAAAAATACGGTATAGAAATTCAGAAAAAGTAGACACTCATTTAAATTTGTTGGTTTATTTGTTCACATCAGTTGATATTATAACTGTATAATATAAGTAGTTGTTATGGTAAATGTATAAGTTGTACAAACAAACGAAAACGACTTCTAAGCGTTACACTTTTATATTTATTTTGGTGGAATGTAAAAAAGGTATAGGCTTTTGACCGCTTTCCCTAAAAGCGTTTGAAAGTTGACTTAATTAAAAAAAATACTGGCATAAGCAATAAAATATTCGTTTGAATGAAAAATAAACTTCAAACCACTGAACGAAACAGCAAACTAAAAATCATAAGCTTAGAGAGGAAAGATATATTGTACAACCTCACGCATTTTAGGTTTTCTCCTAGTTTGTACACATTGGCTAACAAAATAGTCAAATGTCACCCTGCAAGTAAAATATGTCCTCATTAAAGATGAAGAGGTATTAAAATTCATGATTGATAACATGATATAATACTATTACTGCCTCTAGGTGTATTTTAACCCGAATATGAGTGGACGAGTGGTGACTGGAGTGAGATGCATTGAGTAGCTTTGTTTCTGAATAAGACCAGCCGTGTCTTGAGCCTGGATAAATAAAAAAGCCTAACAAAAAAAATAACAGCTGGTTCAGTTTTGAATCATAAAAAAATGTTCTAACCTTTCTCAGGATCGAACCAGACACTTTTTTAGGCGAGCTCTGTATCCACTCCAGTATTTTAAAATAGTTATTTTTATTTACACTCCACTGTGAAACTTACCTAATATTGTACTGTATCCAACTATAGGTCGGCCGCTTAGAAAACGACCTCCTCCAGCATTGGTTTAGCATTAGCGCGCAGGTCGTTTTCTAAGCGGCCGAACTATAGTAACACAACAATACACTATCTATCGCTACATCAACATTACCCAAGCTAACTAACAATAGCAATCGAAACTGATACCTGAACGCTCACCATATAATTGCGCCTTCATTGGATAGGGTAGTCAATATTAGTGCAGTAAAAATAAGAGAAAATTTCCATAAACCTAAAAAAAATTAGCACAACCGGGGAATTTGGTACAGATGTTGGGTGTACCTTCCTTTTGAACATACTAAAAGTCCCCTAAAATTGAAGCTGTGCTACGGCCGCCATATTGGAAAATGGCGGCATATTTCTGTATTTTTCGCTATAGTGACTTTATTATTAGAGATACAGGAAAAAGCTAAATATACAAAATGTAGGTCATCTAAAAATACACATTTTTTGTATTTACCATCTTTCTCTAAACCCAACGGTTTTTGAGTTATTTGTTATTAAGTATAGATAGTTTTTTCTATTTATCAAAAATAGGTGAAACACATGGAAACAGTCCATTACTGTCAAGGATTTTGATAATTTATCCTATTTAGTTAAATAGTGTGATACTATAAAATCTTAAAATTTAAGCTTATTTTATGAGTAAAACAACTCCGCCACAGCAAACCTGCAGACTCAGCAAATTTCCTTTTGATTGGATGTTTTATTAATTGTATTGAAATAAAATCTGATTCAACAGGTACCTAGGTTTGCTGCTACAGGTAGGTTATTAAAGTGTTTTTTTTTTTTGTAAAATATCAATAACTTATTTAATAACTAATTTTCCAAGCTTGATCATAATAAATCTATAAACAAACAAACTGCAACAGTTAACTAATTCATAATAATAGTATGGTAGCTTAAGATTTACAATTTACAAATTTAAATATACAAATTTTGGTTGTGTTTACTAAAAATATGGCGATTTTTCGTCACGATTCGAATACTAACCGAAGGGGTTTTCAAGAGGAGATGAAGCAAGTAATTTAAGTACTGTAATATTAACTCGTACCAAGTATCGGAAATATTGTATGGAGTGAGGAAATCAACCATATTTTGTAAACTACGCAATAGTCATATTAATATTTTATACTCATTTGTACCCATTTAATAAATTAACATTTTAATATATTGATGGCACTACCACTATCACTCTGATATCAACTAAGTGGGATGAATAATTGTCGTAAACCTTGAAAGTAACCGTCGATTGCGATGGGTTTCACCGATTTTTGATAAATAAAACTAACTATACCATGCTTAATTAGTCACCAACATGAACTAGACACGAAAAACACCCTTCCAAATTTACAATGGGATATCAAGTATAGTTAGTTAGTGGTGCCATCAAAATACTAAAATGTTAACTATTAAATGGATAAAAAATAAGATAAAATATTAATATGACTATTGCGTACTTTACAAAATATGGTAGATTACCTTACTGCATACAATATTTTCGGTGCTTGGTACGAATTAATATTACTTAAATAATAGGCTCCATCTCCTTTTGAAAACCCATTTGGTTAATATTCTAATCGTGACGAATAATCGCCATCTTTTTTGTAAACACAACCAAAATTTGTATATTCAAATTTGTTTATTGTAAATTTAAAACTCCCATGCTATTCTTATGAATTAGTTAACTGTTGCAGTTTGCTTGTTTATAGATATATTTTGATAAAACTTGGAAAATTAGTTATTTTATAGTAAGGTATTGATATTTAAAAAAAAGAAAAAAAACACTATAATAACCTTCCTGTAGCAGCAAACCTAGGTACCTGTTCAACCTAATTTTATTTATATACATTTTTTAATAAAACATCCAATCAAATGGAAATTTGCTGAGTCTGCAGGTTTGCTGTGGCGGAGTTGTTTTACTCATAAAATAAGCTTAAATTTTTAGATTTTATAGTATCACACTATTTAACTAAATAGGATAAATTATCATAATCCTTGAAAGTAACGGTCAATTTCCATGTGTTTCGCCTATTTTTGATAAATAGAAAAAACTAAATATACTTAATAACAAATAACTCAAAAACCGTTGGGTTTAGAGAAAGATGGTAAATACAAAAAATGTGTATTTTTAGATGACCTACATTTTGTATATTTAGCTTTTTCCTGTATCTCTAATAATAAAGTCACTATAGCGAAAAATACAGAAATATGCCGCCATTTTCCAATATGGCGGCCGTAGCACAGCTTCAATTTTAGGGGACTTTTAGTATGTTCAAAAGGAAGGTACACCCAACATCTGTACCAAATTCCCCGGTTGTGCTAATTTTTTTTTGGTCAAAACATATTTTTACTGTACTATATAGGTACAGCGCTCACGTTGCGTGCACCATAATGCAGTGGACTGACTAGCAGCAAAAGGAAAGACTTGACTAAACTAAAACAAGTTCTACAACTTATATACACGAGATAAGCATTTCAATCAAGATAACTACATACACTTTAACAATAATAATGCACACTGATAGTCGACACAACTACAACTTTAAGGTTATGTGAAGAAACAATTTGAAGAATCAGCAAAAATAATAATAAATAGTTGCTAGGCAGTGGTGACAATAAAACAATTCTATTGCAATGCAATGCATACTGATTGTGTATTTAATATGCATTCATGTTTTAAGAAAGTATGCGGGTAGCTGATTTTGCGG